AACCCCCCCCCAGGCTCCAGCCGCATCCACGACTCCGCTGTCTTGCTGAGGTGTTCATTTTTTTTTTTAAAGAAAGGCACAACAATAATTTATCAAAACCAATTAAAACCCGTGAATTCAAGCAGAAAAATGTTACTTTTAATCCAATTAGTTTCAATGACAAGTCAGCACAGCTTCAGCACATTTGAAAAATGCCCAGAATAAAGAAATTATTCCGTAGCAATCAAAGTGATAAGATATCTGCAAACACGGCTCTTATCAGCGAGACCGGCCTGGCTGAGCGAGGAGCGGGAGTCTCTTACCCCGGGGTAGGGGGGACACAGCAGGATGGTTTTCAGCCTATTTCCAATACGCAGCGATCAGAAAAAATATGCTGTTTGGCTCCTACAGTTCCAGGCTGCACATTTGTGCTTGTCAGTATGGCTTTTCTGGATCCCCTTTCTCTCCAATTTTACATGTGAATGCATCAATCCTGCCTCATCACATCTGCCAGCTCTCGCAGCGAGAACTAATACAGCGAGATTAATGCAAGATCAAGCGATGATGTGGAAGGCGATGGTATAGAAAAGAAGGCTCAGTTCTTACCTTTTCTATATCTTCAAGTGTTTTGTAGTATTTGGCCTCGGTTTCTTGGATTTCTAGCAAACAGCAATTTCTTTTGTCATCTTCTGTCATTCCCATTTTCTAGAAAAAGGAAAAATAACGCACGGTCAGATATTCTTAAGAGTGGTCCAGCAACCTGCTCACGTGGAGCAGAGCTCCAGTTCAGCCTTCAGTGACGGCAAACTCAGAACAAGCGCAAGTTTGGAAAGTCAGGGGAGTACTGTTACCGGCTTATGTTAAAGGAAACTATTTTTATCCAAAAAAATTAGGAAGGAACCCTGGCTGTACTATTCAGTATGTTTCAACATGGCAAGCATTGTATTTTTTGCATTTGCTATAGCTGCATCACCAAAGGCTATCAGCTAAAGAATAAATAAGAGATAAATGCTGGTTTTCCCCATTTTTTTTTGCTTAAGATGAAACTCACAACAGAGCCTAAGTGGGTCATAAATAATACGTTAGACTTATACAAATCCCCTGCCAGGGTTGCCAATTCTCATGATTTTAGGTCAAATCTGATAATACATGCGTTTCTTAAAGCCCCAGCTCCTGGAGTCACTTCGCTTGCTTTTACATCTGTAAAGCGGAGCTGGAAACGCGTGTCGGGAGGTGCTGCGCTTGTCAGTGCAGTCTCTGAACCTGGGAGGTGATTCAGTGATTGGGTTTTAATGATCATGCACAGGAGCGAGCACCCTCTGTACACCCCCTTTAACTCACAGCTCAGACCTATCAGCTGGATGGAAGCCAATATTTTAATCAATGCGTCTTACCTGCATATATCTAATCTGAAGCATGCAGAAATACAAGAAACCAATTAGTGTTACACACTTGCTATTGCAACAAATCTTAAAAAAAAAGCGCCGTTATTTAGACAGATATGTGGATGCTCATATTAAAAATAGACCCTTTTGCTCAGGGAAGGGGAGGAAAGGGAACCAGAGCCATTGCCTCTATCACTGCTCAGCGGTGTCCGAGAAAACATAAATCTTTGTGGAGGGGACAGTGAAAAATCGCCAATTCCATTGACCCTAATGCTGCACTACCTGGCTGCGGGGCACCCACATGGTGGGAGCTTCCCCCCATTTTTGCCTCTTATGGAAGAAATTCCTACCAAAACCTTCCCAAGGGCCAGATCTTGGGCCAACTGGCTTCTGCAATTGATAGCAACAGGGTAAAAACACCAGTGGCCAATGAGCTGTGCTGACTTCAGCATTGCCACTGGTGTCCATGAACAGCTCCAAGCGCTTTGGCAGGGTCAGTGGGAATACTTTGTGCCCAACTTCTCGATCCAGATGGGTTTTTGGTGTGCAGGGAGCTCCTCAGGCTGCAGACAAGGCGTGAAGGGATGAAATGCCTCAACCACCACCATCGTGGTCCTGGTACCACTTGCAGCCAGGTTTGGGATGGGTGAGAAATCACCGTGTGGGCATCGCTGCCGCACAGCTCGGCTCGTTTGCCGGGCGCCGTGGGGCGAAGCCCTGCCTTGCCAGCCTCCCAGCACCTCATCCAGCACAGCCACGCACTCTGCTCCGGGGAGCTAATTGATCAGCGAATTTGTCCATTGATCCTACTTTGTTATGGGGAGGTAGGTACCGTTGTCAGCGCTGTCTGCAGCCAGGAGAGAGTAATTAGAGTCTGCACAAAGCCTGGGGGTGGCAGATATCAGGGGATGGGAGAAAATTTGCAAGGTCACACTCCGGTGGAAAGGTCCCTTCCAGCTCTGCATCAGTGGAAGCCAGGGCGGCTGGTCTCCTCGGCACTAGGGACACAGGTAGTGAGGGCGGCTGTGAGCACCTTTGGGGAGACGCAAGGGCCACCGGCACCTTCCTGGCTCATCCATGGAGCATGATATTTGCACCAGAGCCTTTGGAGTTAATTGAAGTCCTTCCATGAGGCTGTGCATGCTGCACACCCGGGTTTCTCCATCATCGAAAGGCTTTTAGAGATGATGAATGGGGTTGGCTGCTTGTCCCTAAAGCCACACGGGTCCCTGCTGCCCCAGAAAGCTCTGCTGTAAATGTCTACCTGCTCCGAGACACCCAGGCAGGAGCAGCAGCAGGCACAAACAAGCGCTGGATCCTCCATGCACAGATCTGTCAGCGCTTGCCCCGATCTAAAAATACCCGTGGCAGACACGGCACATCTGGCTGATGGAGCAGGCAGAGCCACCGCGCTCCCCTCTCCCCAGAAAGGGCTGAAGTGACACACGCTGCCTTGGCTCAGCAGCAAATTGCTATTTTTAGCTTATCTTTTAGGGCTTATTAGCTCTCCCTTTCCCTTCCTCCTCCCCAAACTCCTTCAGATGACATGATGGGCTGGGAAACTCCTTGGAGAACCTCCTCCGGGCCAGTGCCATCCCAGCTTGGCTTATTTTTACGTCTCACGAGGCAGCTCGGTTTCGAGGAGCGATGCAAAGCGATTCGCTTCCCCACAACATCACCTGTCATTGGCGGATACTTATTTATTTACTTGAATCCTCTCCCTTCCCCTCCCATCAAGGCGTAGCTTTAAAAATGCATATAAATTGTTACCATGGGCTGCTGAACTTCCACTCTGATGATATCTTCATAGATATCATCGCCTTCATCTTCACAGGGGACGCAGTCATAAATATCCTCCCCCAGATCATGTTCGCTGGAACGAGAAGGAGAGCGATTTAGCGATAACGAAGAGGGCACATTCGCTGTCACTTGATCAGGCAAATGAACAACTGCTCACACCAAGGAGGGAGGATAATCACGACAATAAGAAAACTCTCCTGGCCCACAGCATTGACATCCTCGGTCCACGTTCCCCGTTTGCATTAGGAGTCTGTTTTTCCCGGATCGGTACCCGCTGCACATCCTCCCGCCCGCTGGAGGCTGGAAAAGGCGAAACACTGCTCGACACAAGCGGGGATCGCAGCCAAGAAGCCTCTCCCTGCCCCCGTGCCAGGCGCGCCTGTGATGCCCAGCCTGCCACGGTCTGCCAGCTCTGCCCCTGCAGAGCTTTTGCTCGGCGCTAATCGGCCCGGCCGAGACGGACGCGCCGGCCAAGCGCCTCAGCGGGACCATCTGAGCCGCCGCACGCAACTGAGCCCAGCATCAAGCTGGGTCCAGCTCCGCCTGCCTCCGAAGATGCCCGCAGCCTCCAGTTCATCTCCTGCCTCTCCTCTTTAGGACAAGGAGCAGCTCTTGTGTCAGTGACTTTAACCGTATTATACTTAGAGAATAAATTTTAATGGGTTGGATTTTGGTACGTTTAAAACACTGCATTCATTCTTGGTCTGCTTGACTTTTCTCACAAACAGGCTTCTTCCATGCCAAAGAAACCACCCCCCTTCCTCCCATTAGGGCTGCAAACTGCCGTAGGAGCCCATGTCCATTCAAAGCAGTAAGCAGATACTAAATAATCACCCAATGGCTCCGTGCAGTAGGTACAAGCATCCCAGCCCTGCCTCGCTGAGGGGGGAAGCGTGACGGGGCTGAGCGGACCGCCCTGGGCTGTCCAGGGACCCACAGTAACGCCTGGACCAGCCAGCGGCAGAGCTCAGCCCGGCCCAGGCAGCTGCCTCCAGCAATGGCCCCGCGCTCCCTCCGGCCACGGCCACCACATCCAGGTTTAAAAGCTCTGGATCCAGTTTCACCGGGTGATGCACCAACTCCCACTAAGCACAATCCCTGCCCTGATGGGCAGCTGGGTGATTTTTAATCTAACGTTTCCCAGAAGAGGGGGAGCCTCTCCTGATCACCATACGGCAATCTCATCAGACGCTCAGCTCGGTGATGCTCAGCCCCAACGCTGAGCAGAGCCCAGTAATAATATTTACATCAGAGAGAAATTAAGCAGCAAACAAGTCACATTTTGAGAACTGTCCACATCACTTAGGAGATGCCCCTGCAAGCACAGGCTTTAAAGACATCATAAGACGTAGTGCCCAACTTGTATTTAAAGGTGATGGTGTTAGGTACTTAGTTGTCATCTGAGTCTTTACAAATTCCCCTAGGGGCTCCTGAGTCTTAGAACACTTTTGAAAATTCAACCCATAATAAAGAGCAATTAACAATAATAATTTTAGCATTTAGATCTACAGGTGCTGATTGCTAACAGCTCCCACTGAAGTCAACCCCACAGGATCAGCACAGTGTGAAACGCTGGAATATCAAACAGCATTCTCATATTTTACGAGCTGTCTCTTTCAACATGGGTATTAATTACATACAAATATATTTAGGTGTAAAACTGAGCCCAAACTGTAATGCTTGACATCTCTATATTACACAGCATGGAGCAGCAGAGCACATCTGTTTGCAAAACTGGGCTTTAATTCTTTTCTAAATGCAGTTCCTTCTATTTTTAAAAACAGATTTATTTAATAAAAGTTTGGGAATTTTAAATAAATACACTGGCATGATGTATCCGTCCCATTCTTCCAGAGTGATGCATTGCAGCTGCTGTAATAATGCCCACTAATAACTGGTGATCCATCTTCCCTTTCCTAAGCATCGCCGTCACCGTTATTATCTGTACCAATATTTATATTCTCAGCTCTGCTCCTTATCCAGAGTGAGTAACTCCCGGTTCCTGATTAATCTTCCCTTCCCGCCTGCACCTCTCGGATTGCTGGCTGTCTCTCCATACATCATTTCCCTGGCTCGAGGATCGTTAGGAAACGTATGGTTGGGTTAATGTCGCGAGCACGAGCCCGGCTGGGCGTGACACAGCCACGGCGAGTGCTGCGGCGATGCTGCTGCCGGAGCAGAGCCCGCTTTGCGTGATGGCTGCTCATCCCCCGCCACGAGAGCGCTCAGCAACTGTTGCGGGCTACGTGCAGAAGGAGAAGACAGCATCTTGAGGTGTTCCTGGGAAGCCCCGCATCCCGAGCATCATCTGGACCTGCTCTCCTGCACAACCAGGTGCCACACGTCCAAGCCTCAGACCCCAGCATTGCCCGCCCCCAGCCGGCTGCTGCGCGGGGGCCCCAGCCTAGACAAGCCCTCCTTTTCTTCCCTACGAAGAAGCCCCGAGCTCTGGACCGCGGCCTGGCACGCACCAGGACGTCACCACGAGAAACCCAGGCGGCAGCATGGGATGCTGAAGGGGTTTTGCTGAATCGCAGGCTGCCTGGACCGAGCCTGGAGAAGGACGGGTGCCCCACAGACCTGGCCCAGCCTGGCCCTACCCAGAGCTCCTCTGGGCCACCAGGAAAGGGGCAGAAACACCTACGGAGGGCAAACACGGTATATTTGCCCACAGAAGTGTGAAGAGCCATCTGACACGAACACTGCACCCATCACGGGGGGCCACATCCTGACAGCGCCTCGCCACTCTCATTGCTCTAACCAAGGGGCCAAATCCCTGCTGCTCTGCCTGTTCCTGCTCATCGACACCAGTACAAGCCCTTCCCATCTCCATTTTCTGGCCAGAGGCAAAAAAAAGGGAGAAGTCCCTTGTCCTGGGGCTATCTGGAAAGACACCTCCATTTCGGAGCTCAGGGGAGGGGCACTAGAGATGCTCAAACACGACAGCCGTGGTGGTATTAAAACAATGATACCTTTGTCCAACGGACCCTTATTTATTAAAGCCCATTCCTAGTACATCTCTGAGAAACACCAGAGGCTGCCAGTTTTATGGAGAGCAGTAAAATGTGCAGATTAGCCTCCCCCGGAGCAGCCCGTGAGCAGCCGAGCTTTGCCGGTGCACGTACGGCTGTTGATGCCGCTGCTTTGCACATGCTGATTTTCACCCGTCTCCTCATTTTGTCTATCAGAGTTGAAAATATGCACGCTCCCATCACTAAAAAAAGAGAACAGGTATGAGGACGATTTTAGCCAGTGGCAACCTAAGAACAGACTAAATTTTAAATGCCATAAGGGAAGGGAAAGTGGGGCAGGTACTTTCCACGTTTAGCACAGCCCCCTGCTGTGGGAGGCAATAAATTCAGCATCCCAAGCATGTCACGTGTAGACGGAACAACTTGAGCAAGGAAGGCCAGATCCTCACCTCGTTCTTCACAAAGAAAAGTAATTTACTCCTTCAATAAAAGCAGCAGAGTCTGCGAGTTACCCATGAGTATCTGAGCCTATGATCTACTGCCTGGATTAGGATCATTGACAGCTCTGAGTTTAGGAAAGGGATTTTATCCACCCTTCAGAGTTAACGCCAGCATTTGCAATTACTGTTATTAGGATGGATGTAACCAGCTTTGGGCTGGCAGCACCTTGCCTAGCCAGGAAAGCTCATTCAAAGCCAAAAGAGTAAAGCTTTTCATATCTAAGGCAATTTCAGGCAAAAGCAATGCTTTTGGCTGAGCTCTTCCTGGCAATGCCCGCTCTGTACCAACGCCGTCCCAAGCAGGCAGCAGCCACGCCAAGGAGCAGCTCCCTTAACAGAGGGACCGACGCCAGGCTCCTGCCTTGGAGTAAGGGACAAACAGGGACATGGAAGGAGCGAGCTGAGGAAGGGCAGGTCCCCTCCGTGACCCCTGGCACCTCCAGGTAACATCTCCCTAAATAGGATGCCAAAGTTGAGTTAGTTTGAGGAAGAACCTCACCGCCCTGGGTGAAGGCACCGGTCCCACTGTTCCCACCACTGGGAACCAGCCCTCCAGAGCTCAGCACTGGGCCAAAACAGAGGGCGCAGCCTGCATTTGGGCTTTGGGAGAAGATAAGCTCCAGACTGGGCTGCCCACACCAGGGGATGGGGGCAGACGGTCCATCATGGCCCTGCAGGTAAATAATCTGCAGCAGATCCACTATGGTAAAGGAATGCTGCACATCACGTTTGCAATGACACCGTGCATGAGGAGGGTAACTGGGGAAGCTCTGAGGGTCTCGAGGGCCACCGAAGGACCTCTTCATCCATAAAAGATGTTCTGGGAAGTTGATGAGTTTGTACCAGCCTCAAGAATCCAAGGATGAGCCCAAGCGAGGCCCTCAGGGCAAACCCACCATGCCAAAAACCTGTCCAAACCATGGTGCTGCTTTCACTCTGCTGCTGAAAGAGCCAGAACCACCAGAAAGAGTAAAAGAAAGAGGAGGAGGAGAGAAGGAGCTAAAATAAGACAACCAAAAGACAAACCCAGATTTCCAGCCCTGTGGCCCAAGGATAAGAGCCAGAAGACCTCAGAGCCACCGCCGGGTCCAGGCTGGAAGTGCAGTTGCAGGGTCCCTGAGACAGCTGCCCAGCAGCTGCGAGGCTCCAGTTCGCCCCAGTAATCCTCCACTTTCTCATTCTTACTCTGCACTTACAGCTATAAATAGACAGTTCATCCAACCAACCCCCTCATTCACTGTCTCTGTCAGACGAGGACAAGCAGAGTCCTATATTTGCAGCACATCTGGCAGGCTTAGGTTTCAGGGTGAAGGACTGCAAGATATACAGTTGTTGGACTCAAGATCTTGCAGGGTTTTAATTAGCTAGATTGTCCCTGGACGGAGACACGCATCTGGAAGTAGCAAGAGAAGTCTTTTGCCATCTATTCTACTCAGTTCTTCCGTCCCCCGTTCAAAGTGGAACATTATCATCCCAAGAATGAGCCTCACACGGTTATAGCAACTAACATGATCCTAGAAATGGCACAAGCAGGGCATATAAAAATCTTTACCGGTGACAAAGAAGAAAAGACGCGTTTACAAGTGCTATGGCTTGAGTGCCTTGTACCACGGAGCCATTTATTTAACTGGCTGGCATGCGTGGTTTTTCCAACACAGCAAAAATAATGAGAAAAGTGGCAGCTAACTTATCACCTCACCTTGGCTCTTCTATTCATTACTTTTTTTAATGCACTTGAGAAATTCTGCTGATCACATCACTATTTTGGAAGATACAAGGAGGCAACGCTGGTGACAGCAGGGAAAGAAGTAGGAGAAACTTCAGCAAGAAGCTCTTGGCAGGAGACAGGCTGTTGGCAGAGTCTGTCCCCAAACGAGTTGCATCGCTTGAGGAATTGAGGCCAGGCAGGAGATCTGCAAATCTCCTTCTCTAAGATGAAAGGTTTGGAAATACACCACTAGCCCCAGTGCTTCTGTTGGGGATAAATCCCCAGCGAGCTGCGGCTTGAAACAAGACCGGGGGACACCGACCTGCGGGACGAAGCCCCCCCGGGGGCACACACCAGCTCCAGCGCAGGGTTTGGTGGGGAGCTGCTTTGCTTAAAGCACTTTCTCTGTCCTTTTTGCAACACTACAACTTCTCCCCTCAAAGCAATTAACTTTTAAAGGAAAAAAGGCGGTAAAAGTTATGCAAATCAAATGTTTCACGTCAAATCATGCACAGCACTTCTGCCTGACTCTGAATTCTTCAAACAGCTACCAAACAACCCAAAACCCACTCTACGTGTAATCCAGCCGAGCCTGCCGGGCTTTGTGCCAGCGCAGAGGGACGGTGCCATAAAGCGGAGAAGGTTCATGATAAAGAAGGTTCTGGTGCTGTAAAGAGGACCAGGATTAATTGCTCTCATAAATTTAATGAGACAACTGGAGAGAGCTTAAGTGGCAGGCAGAGAAAATTTAGGTTAAATGTTAAGTATAACTTCAGAAGTACCAGAATGGTTTGGGGCAGCTGAAACAGCCATCTAGAGAGATGGAAAAGCTGTCGGCGGGGAAGATGCTCAGCAGTGAGGTAGATAACTGCCTACTGCCATCAGTGCCCAGCAGCTGTAGCCGTGCAGGAGGCGGCGGCTCACATCCCTGCGGACCCACGGGAGCTTCACCAGGACAAGGGTCGCTTTGATTTTTGGGGGCAGGCTCCTGCGAACGCGCCCGCGTGTTGCCGTTGCAAAGCCCTGCTCATTTCCTGGGCAAACTCCCCCAAAACCGGCTGCTGCTCAAGGGTCTGGCATTAGGGCATGCAGAAATAAATCAGGCAGCAGAGGACAAATGTCCTTTTATTGCTCCTCCCAGTATCGATCAGGCACCACTTGCAAACTGGCCAGCCCTCGCCATCTGCCCGGGCTCGCTGCAGGCTGCCATCTGGCCGACGGCAAAGCAAACCGAGGGGCCGGCAGGCTGAGGACAGGGAATTTGAGAACTTTCTAGCTCCCCTGATACCCTTTTAGTTTCCCCTCCCCTTTCCATCACCAATTGTTCTTTTGTTTTTTTGGGTTTTGGTTTTTTTTTTTTTTTTTTTTAAATAAATGGCTGTTTCCAGGCAATTATCTGCCTTGATCTGCTGGATGGCTGACCCAGCACCGGGGAGCTGCACGCGGCCCAGCATAATCTCTGCAATACCCCAAAGGTGAAAGCACAACGGGTTCATCAAGGCACGAACATCCTTTATACACACCAGCACCCCGTGGCCACCCCGCGCTTGCACGCAGACAGCTTCTTTCTGCAGCGCAGGTAAACGGCCCTCGTGGCGCTGCTATTGATCCGCTCCCAGCCCCGGCGCTGGCTTTTGTCCCCGGCTGCCGCGGCTCCTCCGCGCCCCCCGGGGGACCTCGCTGCCCGCCGGGATGAAGGTCCTCGCTCTTTAGAGCACCGTGGGGACAACGGGGACAAAGCCTAGTTGCTTCTGCTTCCCAAATCTGCACCTCCGCCACAAACATGTTTATATTTTGAATGCTTGGCAGAACAGGAATTCACCCAAAATCTCAAATGGGGGACACCAAACCACTCCGTTTAAGTACTTAAGGTTGAAATTAAGCACTTTCTCCAAAAAAAAACACTTTTACCAGCCCCCAAAATGGCTTGTTAGAACCAGCTCAATATTTATCCTGAGCTTTTTATCCCAGCAGCACAACGACCAGAGAAAGCTTCCTTTGGGAGACTCCTCTCTCCCGGGGAGTGACTTGGTGGTGCCGAGCCCACGGGGGTTGTCCCTCCTCACCTGCACCCCGGCCCTTCGAGGCCAGCGGGGATGGCAGGCTGGGCCCTTGTAGCGGCACGTTTCATAGTGGTTTTACAGACAGGACTGTGCACCCCCCCAAAACGATCCAAAGGGCAAAAATAATCACTCAGCTGCACAGACGTAGCAAGTTAACGTGGAAAAAACACCCAGAGATGGAGGGGTCTCTCTTGCAATAGGGAAGATTGCTGCGCCTGGTTGTGCTGGTCGGTAGTAGTTCCTTCCACGCGTTGGGCCACTTCACTGCGTGCTGTGAAAATCGTTTCCTCGCCTCCAATAAAGGATTTTGGATGCACTCGGATCTTCCCAAGGCCGCTGGATCATCAGCAATATTGAATGCAAAGATGCTGGACGGAATGAATCATTCCCAACTCGTGAATGATGCCCTTGTTCAGCTGTTTGGAGATCGGCAGCAGCTAAGAAAGACCTTTCTCATGCGGCCCCGCGGTTTGCCGGCGCCCAGCATCGGTGCCCAGTATGCACCACTGTGACCGGCAAATTTCCAATGAAAGTTTCCTTGTCAAGCACGGAGAGACACTCCTTGTCAAAGGGAGAAAAGGGGACTATTGCTGATGCGTCACCAGGCAGCGGGAGCGGCAACACTCGTGCTAAGGGGCTCTCCGGGGCATTTCTGGGGTTTTTACAGTTACGGGTGAATGACATCTCCGTCTCGTAGGTTGTGTTTCCGTGCACGACCTGGCTGCACCGGGAGCGCAGATCTGGATGAAGGCGTTTGTGCAGTATCCCCACGCTGATCTACACGCGCCTTTCCCCAGTGGTCCTAACTAAAGATGTAAAGAAGAGGATTTTGCAATGAATGGGAAAAAAGGGAAAGTTAAAAGTTGGAGACAATCTGGGACAGAACAGGGCGGTCAATAAGAAATAAACCTCTAAGTCATCTGAGCACAGGACTTGGGCATCTAAGCCCCTCTCATAGAGGGACCAACTCGCAGCCATGAGCAAAGGACCGAAGAACAGTTTGGGAAGCTTCCACCCGGAGACCCTGCGGGAGCTGCACCGCCTGCAGCAGAGCAGTTAAAGCTGGGAACCCATCTTCAACACCGAATAACCTGCGCCGAGCACACCGCGCCGAAACCCGGATTTCTAGGAGAGGGCTGCCATCCCCACCAGCGCTTGTGTGCGAGTTCACACACAAAGCTTTCTCCAAGTAAAAGCACGTCTATTTGTGAGAATCAGGAATTTTAAAACCCAGTATTAAAGGGATTTTGAGAACTTTAGGAGAGGGGGGGAAAATGTTATTCTTGAAAGGATCCCTTTATAAAGCTAAAATTTTATTAAACTGTAGCTGCTGGGAGCAAACCGTGAGCGGGGGATTCCAGGGTACTCCGTTCCCTCGACTAGTAATTTATGATTTACTTTCGTAATAACTGAAGCCATAAGGAACTCATTGGATTAAGGAGCCTTATTATTTATGTTGTGGAACAATAATATTTAACTGTATAAAGCCACATACAGACTTTCCCTCCATATGAAACAGACTGCACTTCATAAGTAAAACCCTGGCCCCGCTGAAGCGGATGGGAACGCTGCCATCAAATTCCGATAGGGCCCACGTTTCACCGTATACGTTGTAGTTCAAGGTTGCTTAAAAGCCTGTTATATCATCACCACGGGCAGCAAAACACAGACACCAGAGACCCAGATAAATATAGGCACAGAAACCCCAGCAGCATCACCCCGCATCCCACTGACATCCCACTGACACCCCGCATCCCCGCCACCAGTGACAGGCAGGACAGGTCCCCTGTGAGGGACTGCCCTGGGGCCGGCTGCTGTGGTCCAAAAATCACTCACAGGGAATGCAGACCTGCGTGCCAGCACCTACGCAACCCCAAAAACGCCATGGGGGCAGGGGGGGGGTGTCCAGCGCTGAGTTAGCAATGGGTACCCCAGTCCCAGCAAGTGACTCGGCTTCAGTCGGCTCGGAGGACGAATTACGTCCCGGGGTTTTGCAGCTAACGATGGGATTTAGCGGGCAGAGGGACTCCTCGTGGACCAGGCCCCCCTCGCCCCCCACCGAGCCACTCGTAAACTCAACCCCGTTAAAAGTGATGTCTCGCAGGGCTCTACATGGGAAGAGATGGACTATTGTCAGAGCACAAAAATCTCTGGCAAGACGATCAAAGCAGCCGGCCCGGCTCTCCGAGCCCCGCTGTCAAATTTTATCTGACTTTGCTGGAACTACATTGCAACTTTTCCCTTTCTGTGTCCCCTCCCCGCGAGAAGGTGAGGCCACTTACTCCGCCAGCTCCTCCAAGCTCCGATAAACGTCGTCATCGTTTTCTGTGGTCTCCTCCGACGGGAAGGGCCTGGGGGAGGAGAGGAATGACAGCGTTATTGGTCTGTCTCACCCCTCGCAGCAGATCCCCTGCAGCCCCAGCTGAACTCAGTCCAGCCCCGAGCATCCCATTGAGCAGAGGGTGTTTCAGAACAAAATATTCATTGCAAATACATTTTTTCCTGTTGAGGCATTAGCTCCCAGGAAGACATCATCTCCGCTGCTTCCTGCGGGCAGCGCAGGCATGGCAGGACAAGAAACCAGGTGGTGAGGCTGGTTCACTGCAGGGCACCATCTGAGCCCTGAGGTGAGGAGCTGCATCATCTAACAGCATCTCAGAGACCCCGCGTCTGAGCCGCCGCTCCCCGCTGTGCTGGCACTGCCCAAACGACTCAGTAGAAATCTAATTCAAGTCTGGTGTTGGACTCGGTGAGACAGAGAAACGCCCTCTCCTCCACCCGTGATGGAGCCTTTCTACCTGTGAGCTCCTGCCCCACTCGGCCGGGGCACGGCTGGGGCACACCGAGCCACATCCCACTGGCGTCTCCCCCTGCTGCAAACAGCCGATCCCACCAGAACGAATGAGTCCTTATGAACCCTGGGCTTCCTCATCTTAACAACTTTGTGATAGCTGAGAAAAGTTAAAACCCTGGGGATGAGGGAAAGGACACCAAAAGGGCAAAACGAAGGGGGGAGAAAGCAGATTAAAAGAGAAAGGGAGGGAGTGGGGGGGGAAAGCAAGAATTCCTTGGCTGATTCTAAAAATAACCAAATAATGTATGAGGGAGATGAAAAAATACTGCTTTAATTAAACCCAATGTATTATTGCTGGCACGGGGCCACAGTGGACTGTAGCTCTGCTGGGGCTGCATGTACCTTGCGACTATGACCGCGTCAGGCTGGGGGTCCCCGCAGCCACAGCAAGCCTTGCTCCAGCCAGCCAGAGCTCTGGCACCACGGGCTGCAGCAGGGCAGCTCGGTCCGTCCCCCGTGGGCGTTGCAGCGAAGGCAGCCGGGGGTCCCCAGGCTGAGCCGCACGGGATGGGGTGCTGATGCTGTGGGGGAGCAAAACTGGATACACGTGAACTTTTAACTGCCCCCAAGAGCAATTTCCTCCTCTTCCCTCCCACCCTCCCTGTTTCACGATAGATTGCCTCTCCTGAAAGATTTAATACACGGCCGGGCTAGCCCCCGAATTTGCTATTTTTGGATCCTGCCTCTAGCATTAATTTGCCTTCCCTCCTCTGCTATGCTTCACCCTTCCTTTGGTGAGCAGCTTCAGACCAAGTGTTTTGAAATAGTGCTCAAATCTGCAGCGAGTTCAATTAAAACCACGACCAGGTGGTGAGCCCAGGAGGGAAAAGAGCCGCACTGACCCCAGCCACAGAGCGGGACGACTGCATGCTCCACCGGCTATCAGGGCCGCCGTGCCTCTGCTCGAGATGCAAACCCACGGGAACCAAGGAGCGCCCAAGGCTGGCATGTCCAACCATGCCCACGTGCAAAGCGGCAATGCGGGAGGGAGGAGAGCAACGGGTGGGAAGAGCAGATGGGGCTGTGCCGGCTCTCACAGCCTCATTGCAAGGCAGGTGCCATTGGGAGATTGTCTCAACACCCCAACATCTGGCACAAACAGCTGCCCACGCGTTTGCGAGATGTGGGGGGAAGCCCATTTCGGTGAGAAGCTTCAAAGCATAAAGGTGCAGTGAGAGACCAGGAGGCACCCAGGATCTTTACAGAACGTGCGCATCTGCGTGCTTTTCCTCTCCCCTGCTGTCCCCCGGGGATTAGTGATGAATACAAAAGCCGTGTGAAGCGCAGACAAAAAAGCCACCAGCTCCTCCTGCACGTGGCTGAGCCGATCATGGGAACCGGTCTCAGACTTCAGCCCCGACAGACGACCGCCAGCCGCTGCCGCAGGGCTGCACCATCCCGCACAGCTCCGGCAAGAGAGGAGAAACCGGAGGTGACCTCTGTTTAAACACCACTTGTTAAAATAATAATTAAAAAAAAAAACCAACCCACCACAAGGCACGACCTCCTTCCTTTTACATGCATCTTCTGCTCTTAATCTCTGACTATTTCCTTCTCCAGTGCTCACCATGCCAGAAAGAAAGAAGTAAAAGAGCCATAAAAAACATTAAAATACCAAGCACATATTTCCAACCATAAATCTGGGCTTGAGGTGTAATCAGTTCCTGTGATAAACCCCTCCATGTAAGACAAGGAGACAGCAAAGAGAGAAAAATATTTTCCAACGAGAGTTTCACGGAGGCAGCAGCTCCGTCAGCCCTCCCAGCTTCACCTTGACCGTCGGTAAAGCACCGGAGCGAAAGTCAGGGCAGGGGAGAAATTAATAACCTGTATCTCCGCAATAGCAGCTAATAGCTAAATAAGGATGCACAGAATGCAATTAGAAGGAAAGTCACACCGAGGAGAGGATTACTAAATGGACCATCTAAAATCTGGAGCTGAAGGACGGCTTTTTGGAGAAAGCCTTGGGTTCGCCCTTTGTTCGTGCCTCTCTCCCCAGCTGCCCATGCCACAAATGGCTCTGGAGAGGCTCCCCGTATCCCCACGTCGCCGCTGCGGGAGCAGAACTGCCATCTCCCCGCAGCTCCTCTCCCCTTCTCCAAAACAGGGTGCCAGCCCCCGGACTGCAGGACGAGTCACCCGGGGCTGGGATCGTGCCATGGGCTTTGGGCAGCTCTCGCCCAAACGGTCCTTGCTCTTCCCCAAAAGCCTTATGTGCAACAACATAATTTAATTTAGCCCTACTAATTATGGCCGTTATTTAAAATATCTCCCTACTTTTGGCTTAAGTTCCCTTATATATCCATTTACATTATTTTTCTTCGCTGAACACAGGAAAAATTAATCCTCCAGCAACGAGCCGATGAGGATGAACCTCCAGCAGCCAGCTATAGAAAAACATATTAAACACTTTCCTACCCGGACTCGCGCTGGCAGCTGGGGGGTCAGGCGGTGCTGGCAGGAGGTGTGGTGTGAACTGCCCGCCCCAGCCCTGTCCCACCAGTTATTCCCCATGTTGCTGGTTTGCTCAGATCACCTTCGTGGCTCCCCACCGCGGGCCCATCTCGGCTCGGGGCGACGTTTTCCACTTGAGCTGGCTGCAGAAACAATTTGATGTGGTGGGGAGAGGCCGGGGGAGGAGAGCCCTGCCCTCGCTCTTGCCCCACCAGATCCATGTCAAGGCAACTCTAAGAAAAGCCAACCGGGTGAACTTTTAACCCAGTGTTTCTCACCAGGGTTTCCCTTGTGTACATCCAGGTCCAGCACAGGACTTGCATTTAGACACCTTCATGCAGATTATCAGCTCAGCCCCAACCATGCAGGGAGATGCATCTCCATCTGGCTGGGCGATGGTGCTGCACGTTCTCCGGCCATGAGCTCCCCAAAAGCAACCACGGTGTTTGGACCGTCATTATTTTTTTAAAAAAGAGCAGAAACATTGGAAGTCAAGGGGTCTAAAAGCTACTGATTCCATGGGAAATTCTTACAGATCTCCAGGTGCATCGCAACTTCATACACAGTATTAAATGCTATAGCTGGGAATGCCCAACAGTAATGAGAAAAGCATTTTGTGTCCAACAGGTTTGCAGAGATCCCAGTTCATTTAAATTCATTTGAAAGTGTCTCTAATATCATTAGTTAAGCACCAGACTTTGTTTTTACTCCACTGTCATGAAAAACCACCTGCTGAGCCATTTATCTTCCCAGCCCGCGCCTGGGCTGCAGCAAGCCCGATCCCACTCAGATGAAGAGCAAAAGCCCCAGCAACATCAAACACTGCTGGAATAGGCTCTTAGAGATAATAAACCTCCCAGAGTAGACTTCTCCACAGACAAACCCCACAGCACTCAACAGCATCGCTTCCAGAGATCAAAGAAGAGAATGCAAGTAGGATCGATCTGATGTGTTTGTTTTAGAGCCTAAAAGAGAAGGAAAGACCAAGTAATTTGTTATGGAGTTTAGAGTGAGCTTCTCCTCTTGAGGACAAGACTTACAGCAGCTGATCGTTCTCGACATGCGATGCAAAGCACCCCCTTGATCTTACAAAACATTTAGGCTACTTTCTGGGTTGGAGAGCTTGCACACGCACAGCACACAGCGCCCTGCAAACGCAACGCGCTCTCACGAGGAAAGGCAGGAGCAGTCCGCAGCCAAAGTACACCGCACAGGGCAATAATCAATTAATATTTCACGAGGCACCTAATGCAAAAGCCCTCCCTTGCTCTCAGCGGTCACTCGGGTTACCCCATGATCCATCCGATGCTGTATCCTCATCAGCCGCCCCCGCACGCTCCCCTGCGGTAATCCTCTCTGTGGGGAGAAGGCGCAGCTCGATGCACTGCCTGGCTGCTCCCTCCTCTGAATTATTTAATGGGAAGAGCCAGGTAGGCTGCAATTCTAACAGCAATAAGCAGGAAGATTTATTTATTTATGAACATATTGCAGTATCTGGGTGCCTTGCCCTAGCAACTGAAGCCAGCTGTTCACCTCCGCGGTACCGTCACAGAGAATACAGAGGGTCAGGGATGGGTCAGCTTTAGTCTGATAGTTTTGTACAGTAGCATCTTAGCCTCAAATCCGTGTGTGACAGAGCAGGGAGGATCCGGCGTGATTTATTTTCTATTTTCCCTGTCTCCGTTCTGATTTCTTGGGGTCAAAACACCAGCCCTGGGAACAGAAAGCCTGGTGAGAAACAAGCAGGGTGGAAATGTCCCACTCACCGCCCTCCATCCCAAGGAGCTGTTCCCATCCGAGGCCACTCTCGGTGGAGATCATCTGTCGGGCAGATCTGCAAGGAAGTTTTCATGACTTGTGCAAACACCCACAGGAGACTAAAGGAGGTGGCTCATCCCTTACCGGGAGCGGGACTCCAGCCTCCCAACGCCAGCGTGCCAATCTCCCCCCGTTTCTTAAGTCCAGCGATCACACTTCAGTGTTCTAAAAGGCAGGCAGAGTATGTGACACCTGTGAAAGCTGAGCTGCTCCCATCTGCCGCCC